GGAGATGGAGACCATCCTGGCTAACACTGTGAAACCCTGTTTCTACTAAAAATACAAAAAGTTAGCCAGGTGTGGTGGTGGGCGCCTGTAGTCCCAGCTACTGGGAGGCTGAGGCAGGAGAATGGCATGAACCTGGGGGGTGGAGCTTGCAGTGAGCTGAGATCGGACCACTGCACTCTAGCCTGGGCGACAGAGCGAGACTCCATCTCAAAAAAAAAAAAAAGAAAAACTAACCAGACACTGTGGCTCACACCTGTAGTCCCAGCTACTCAGGAGGTTGAGGTGGGAGGATCGCTTGAGCCCAGGAGTTCGAGGCTGCAGTGAACTGTGATCGTGCCGCTGTACTCCAGCCTGGGTGACAGTGAGACGATGTCTCCAAAAAAGAAAAGAAAAGACAGCTGTCTGCCAATTGGTGATCCTGGTTTTAAAAGTTGCATGATTTCCCCAGGTCCTTTAAAAATATGCTCCATTTTTCAAACACAGTAGTACATCTACTTGGTAGCACAAGACACATTTTTATTCTAATTAGCGCATGGCATAGAGAGACATTATCCACCTGCCCTTGGTGGCGATCCAGAAATCCATTTATTTACTTCATTCACTCTATCTAAGCAGACAGGAATTTGCAGAAAACAGTAGCAATTGCACAAATCAATGTTTTTCCCCTATAGTACAATATCCCAAAATTCTAGAGCTGGTGAAAATAGATTACTTGCAAGACAAGAGCGCATCTAAACACCCCGCAATTTTCCAGCCCTTGAAAAGGAAGTGCACAGCCTTGTTCTCTTGAAACAATTCCTAAACCACACTGACCTGTTACCCATACGCTTCTGCCTTTTTTTCTAAAGCATCTTTTAAAACTATTTTAATTCATCAGTATTCAGGAGAAGGGAAATTCCTCTTTCTTATCATCTGCACAGAATAAGACTTCCAGTGGACTTTTGCTTGATAACTGGGGAGAAAATTGTGCTTTTCCAAGTCAGATGAGTCATCTGGGATCTGCCATTTCTGGGAACTGAACAGGGACCTAGAGTCTTGGGGATTTGTTCTGCCTACTTTGTGGAATTTATTCTCACAGTGCATGAGTTGGTCACTTTCACACTGCTCCAGGCACCAGGGGCTGGAAGCCGGGAAGCTCTATTCTCTGGATCTTCAAGCACTAGATTTTAGTGTGAAGGCCTCAGGATTTATTTCTGCGCCCCTGCCACCCTGCACTGTGATTGGGTCTGTTTTGCCGTATGCTTCCCAAATTATGTACATTATCATTGGGAATGATACACACATTTCTGGGGAAGAGTAGTTTAGCATTTTTCTTAAGGGCCAGAATTTAAATCTTGTCACTCCTACCGAGCCCCCAGCCCCTCCCCACCCCTAAGACATTTCTTCTGCAAGCCAGAGAAACAATGAGAAAAGACACAGAATATTTGGGCGATGAGGCTTCCCAAAGGACTGCTGGGGTCATGGTGGAGCTGGTACAACCCTCTCCCTGCCCAATTTTTTATTTTCATCTCTACCAACTGTAGATTATACACACACACAAGCAGATCACCCAAAGGAATACTATGCCTCAGGGCTAGGAGGATTCATGGAGCAAAGCTTGGAAGGAAGAACTAGAGAGAGACCTAGAGACAGAGACCCTCGGGAGAAATAATTAAGGCTGGCAGGGAAAGGCTGTGTTAATTGAGCTGAGAAGAAAGATGAGCATCCGGGGATTCTTGTAAGAGGCAGTGGAATTTGCAGATAAAGTCATTGGTACATTATTGGATTCGTCTTTGGTTACTACCTTTTAAAAATGATTTTTGGGGAAGAATGGTATCTAGAAAAAAAACCATGCAAGAGAAAAAGCTACAGGACTAAATGGTAATAACTGACCGAAAAAAAAAAAAAAAGCGAGACAGAGGGTGATTTTGCCAGATCCTCATTTCCTGGACTGAGCAAGAGAGGAAGCGAGATGCTGAGTCGGCTCCTGGCATAGGGGCTGCCATTCATGTGTGGTTGATCCAGGCCTGGCACTGCATGTGCAACACCCATGTGGTTTGCACTGAACTCCCTCACACCAGCCCCACCTGCCCTCAAATAGTTATCCCACGTGGTTGTCCCTGTACCTAAATTTCCCAACATTTGTTTCTTTTTGAGTATGAGGATCCTCTTTTTTAAGTCAAAAAATAAAAATAAAAAAAATCACATGCCCCATGAGACTATAGTTGTACTTTCCACCAAGAAAATATATAAAGACCTTCAAGCCATTAGGTATTAATAAGACTTTTTCATTTTTAAATATTTTTGTTGTATAATGTAATGCAGAAAATTGCATACAGCATAATATATGCACAACTTAATAAACTGCTGTAGTGTGAACTGCCGCATATCCATCACCAGGTTGGAAAATAGAACATTGCTGGCACCCCGGGAACTTCCTTGAGCTCCTTCCTCATCACAGCCCCCTCCCTCGGAAACCACTCCCTGTTGTCATCATTTCCTTGCTTGCTTTTCTTTATGGCTTAACCACCAACGTGTGGGTCCCCAAACAAGATAGTTTTGCTGTGAATGAAACCATAGTTCATATACTTTCTTGTGACTTGCTTCTTCTCAATATTATGTTCAGAAGGTCCATGCATGTGGTTGCATGTAACTGTAGTTTGTTTTCCTTCCTGCATAATAATTCATGGTCGTAGTATCTCACAGTTAATTGTTCTGTCCATTCTATTGTTGATGGATAGTGTTGTTTCTGGTTTGAAGCTATTAAGAGTGTTGCTATTCTTTTTTTTTTTTTTGAGATGGAGTCTCAGTTTGTCACACAGGCTGGAGTGCAGTGGCACCATCTCAGCTTACCGCAACCTCTGCCTCCTGGGTTCAAGTGATTCTCCTGCCTCAGCCTCCCAAGTAGCTGGGACTACAGGCGCCTGCCACCACGCCTGGCTAATTTTTCTATTATTAGTAGAGTCAGGTTTCACCATGTTGGCCAGGATAGTCTTGATTTCTTGACCTCGTGATCTGCCTGCCTCCGCCTCCCAGAGTGCTGGGATTACAGGTGTGAACCACAGCGCCTGGCCGGTCAAGAGCGTTGCTATTCTTGACAAATTTCCTGATGTACAGACATCTCTGGTGGGGTGGGATTAACTGCACCATCAGGAACACTTTAAAAAAATGTAACAGCTTTCCTGAGGTATAACTTACATACCATACAGTTCACCCATTTAAAGTGTACAGTTCAGGCCAGGTTCGGTGGTGCTCACACCTGTAATCTCAGCACTTTGGGAGGCTGAGGTGGGTGGATCACATGAGGTCAGGAGTTTGAGACCAACCTGGCCAACATGGTGAAACCCTGTCTACTAAAAA